GTGAAGACTGGGGACGGGGACCCGCGCCGACACAAGCAACCCGCGCGGACTTCTGGAAGATTATGGATCACGTCGTGCTGTTGGGTGTCTTACACGGTCCATCCATTCCGACACCCCGCTCGCCCCCTTGAGATCCGACGGTTCGAACAAAATACAGCACCGCGGCAAATTCGACCACAGCCCAATGGCCCTGGAGCCAGAGGGCCGGGCGAAAACGCCAGGTGTGGCAAAACATGCACGGCCCATCCACCCCGACAGCCCCAGCTCCCCTGACCCCCGACAGCCCCAGCGCCCCAGCTCCCCGACCCCCAGAGATTTGGACCCATTCCCCGGGACCGTTTTCTCGTCATGACTCGTGTTTTGACGGTCCCAGGCGTTCCTTTGCAAGCACGTCGTCTTCGGCATTGCCTGATCCCGAGGCTTTGCCTCCTCCTGGCCTTGCCGTGAGGCCGCTCTCCTTCTGTTCCCCCGCTTTGTTAATTCAAGCTTCGCGCGGCTCGCTTAGCTTCGGCCGGAAGAGGTGCGCTCTCGACCCGCGGATCAAACAACCGTGTTTTGACGGCCCCAAGGCCCGGGAAGGGCCCGGGGAGGCCAAACATGGCGAAAGAACCTCCCGTCGTGATTTTTGCTTCATGGCCAGAGGGGGGTCGGGGTCTCCCCCCCGTCGAGGAGGAGGAGGAGGAGGAGGAGGAGGAGGAGGAGGAGGAGGAGGAGGAGGACGAGGAGGGGTTGTAGCTCTTGGGTTGCAGCTCGGCCCTCCTGCGGCCCTGCAGGACGATCTCCGGGCATCTCCCACAAGACGTCCTCGGCGAGGCGCAGAGCCGGCAGAAGTCCGCTCGCCTGCACTCGAGAGCAGCCTAGGGCAAGCGTGGCCTGTGGCGCACACGAGAGCAACCTGAGGCAACCTGAGGCAAGAGTGGCCTGTGGTGCGCGGCTGGAAGCGGCAGGCGCTTCAGGGGCACCGCCCGGCGCGCAAGCCGCTGCTGCCGCACTGCAGTCGGCGCTCAGGGGGCCCGAAGGGGCCCACAGCGAAGGGTCACTCTTACGTGTAGCCGAGTCGTATCCTAACAGAGGATCTGTCGACCCCTGACCCCTGGTATAAGCGAAGGGGGGCGTGCATCCTCGATAGGCGTGCATCTGAATAGCCCCCTGGGGTCGTATCACCGAGTTTCCCTCCTTTTCTGAGCGGCCTGACTTATCATTAGGAAGTCGACGAGAAACCACCTGCGATATCTTGCTCAACCACCCCCCCGTCGGGTGCTTAGGATGCCCTGCTAGCGCACAACTAGAGGCCTCCCAGACGAGGCCGGAGTAGATGGGGTCGGAACATCGCGCCGCATCGCCGATGCATCGGCGATGCACCCGCGATGCATCGGGATGCATCGGCGACGCCAGAGGTGGCGAGAATCGGGCTACTACTACACACCGAGCCGCATCGCCGATGCATCGACGATACGGCGCGATCCTCCCACCCCATCTGCTCGGACCCATCAAGCAAGCCTCGAACAACGTGCGTGCCCTGGGAACTGCTCCCGCAAGGGCCTCGGCAGCAGCTCCGGGCGCCGCCAGTCTCAGCAGAGCGGCGCCGCCACGCCACCCTGCGCAGCGTCCGGCGAGGGCCCTCGAGGGACCATGGAGCGAAGACGAAAGCCAGGACGAGGTTGAAATCGGGGGAGGCTAAATCGGGGATCTCTGAGATCTGGCGGCTCGGGAAGATGTCTCGGTCGCCGAAGCCTGCCCGTAGTGTGTTCCAGAGCGCTCTGGAACGCATTGTAACCTCGTCCCTAGCCCCGTCCGATTGTAAGGACCGAGGAGCTGCGCACAGCACCCGCAAGCGCGGATCTCCGACGAACTCTTGCTTGAACACGGGCGCTTTTTCTCGATTTCGGCCTCGAAGGCCCTACTACCGGGCCCTGGGACGCTCAAGCATGGACCCGGGACGCAACGCTTCCCCGGGGGAAGGGGTCCAGGACAAGGCAGCTACGCACGACACCCGCGGAGTCCATCGTGGGAGGAGCTCGAAGTTCTAGAGAGGAAAGTGCACCGATACAGCTACACCTCCCTCGTCGCCACGGCTGGCATCGCCTCGAAATGCTGATCACAACGCACCCCAGGAGAGGTCGGGGAAGTAGCGGTATCGGTACGGTTTGTTCCTTCCCCAGAAACGCAGTCCCGTCGGTGGAAGATCTCGGTGTATAGACGCCCCAGATTCCCCAGCTGCGGGATGCTAGAGTCTACACGCCGACTTCCTGCATAGCAAATTGGGTGGCTCCATGGTCGACCAAACGACGCTCCCTCCGAGATCGGAGCCGGGAAACTGCGAGGATCACCGAAGAAGACGTCGATAGCAGAGTCTGGCCGCGCGGGAACCTGAGCTCGCTCGAGGAAGAGACGGAGAGCGGGACTCTGGTGCACGGTGCAAGCGGGTCCTGCGGGACCCCGAGGCTTTCCCCAGGACCAGCTCCTTGCCCGCAGTTTCTCCCGAGGGGGACAAAGGGGAGGGGGGGGGGGGGGGGGGAAACACAGCCACACGTGGACGTCGGGGGCGGCCAATAGGGGTGCGTCCAAGAGGGGGGGGCGCAAATCATGGCCCGGGGCACCTGCGCGGCCGGGGCTGGGGACGCAACGAAATAAGAAAAGGCGCCGTGGAATCCGGGGAGATAGCGTGGCCCATGTCGTGAGATCCACCCCCCCTGGTCGTCACCCCCCTCTCTGCCGCCCCCGACAAAGGGGGGTGGAGCAAACAAGAAGAGGCGCCGTGGAATCTGGGGAGATAGCATGGCCCACGGCATGGGATCCCCCCCCCCCTGTAGTCATCACCCCCACCTCTCTGCCGCCCCCCCAGAAGGGGGGGTGGGGAACAGCTCCACGGGCGTGGACGGGAGACACGTCCCGTGACCCGTGGTCTCGCGGGCCGGGCCCGTGGGCCGGGAGCCCAGGAGTGCCGGGCGTCGCTCTGGCCATCGCTCGGACGTCCCTTCCGTGTCGTGCGTGGCTTTCTCGCCAGGCGATCCAGGATGCTCCTCGAGGGTCCTCGCCGTCGACGTGTGTGCAGTTCTCCTCCGGGGGTCCTCGCCGGAAGGAGAAATGCACACGTCCGAGCGACGCCAAGCTCTTCGCAGGCGCCCCGAGCCGAGCCGACGGGCCCTGCGGGCGCGCAGATCCACGGGGCCGCGCTCCCGGGGAGGTGCAGAGAGGGCGCGGAGACCCAGCAGACGCCCGAGGTCATGAGCTCTTTTTCGCGGAGGGGGCCCCCAGAAGTCTGGACCCGAGGTCATGATATCTTTTCGCGGAGGGGGCCCCCAGAAGTCTGGACCCTAGAGGGCCCCGGAAACGGCAGGGCCGTGTTTTTCACCGTTTCCGAACAGGTGCCCCTCGAAAATGGGAGCGGCAGAAAAACGGCGACCGGAAACGGCAACAGAAACGGCTCCAGGATTGGAACCGGAGCGGGAACCGGTAACAAAAACGGCGACGGAACTGGTAAAAAAACGGAGTCGGAACCAACAAAAAACGGCAAAACGGGACTGGTAGCAAAAACGGCCCTGTCATTTCCAGGGCCTACTAAGGTCTGGACCATGGGTGCTCGTTCTGGGGGCCTTCTTCCTGGAACCATTGGCTCCGCACATGCGCCGATGCTGCGTCGAATGTCCCCGTCGACCTGAGTCGAGCTTGGGTCGAGCTTGGATCGAGCTAGAGTCGAACTAGAAAACAACAGATCTCTTAGGTGGCCCCCTCAGGGAGGTCCCCAGAACGAGCACTTAAGGACACCTTCCTCTGGACCAGTGGTTACCTCCCGAGCCGTTTCGTTGCAGACCCCGCGCCAGGTTGGGAACCTCTCGTCTTGATTGTGCCATAGCCCGACGAGGTCTATAGGGCTATGGATACGGCAGGTTCGTTTCGTGCCGACCCGGGCGTTGGAAGGCATGGGGGAGGAGGGAGGGGGGGCGCGTGGGGAAAACAACAGGTACCGGCGGCACCGCTGCTCCGCGGACCTCCTCCGAGGGTGCGCCCTGACCAGCATGTCAGAGCGAATCTGGCCTTGGCGACGCCCCCGCCCCTCCAGCCCAGACCCCCGACGTCCTGATTTGTTCATGACGCGACCCCCAGAGGTCCGGACCCCTTCCCCGGGACCGGCTTTTCATCCTGAGTCGTTTTTTGATGGTCCTGAGGGCCGGCAAGGGCCCCTGGAGGCCGAAAATAGCGAAAAAACCCTCGTCATGAATTTTTCATTACTCGAGGGGGTCTGGTCTGGGAGCGCCGCCCCCATCCAAAAGGCAACAAGAAAGGGAAAGGGCCACGGTGCCGGCAGCTCTTCCGCCGCGGAGGGGGGGCTCCGAGCGGGGCGGAGCGGACCCGCGACCCCGCCTCTCGGCTCCCGGCAGCCCCTGGAGAGCAAGCCGCGGAAGGGCTTTCGAGAAGAAGCCAGCGGACTGTGCCAGGGCAGGTTCGTGTCGTGCCGACCCCGGCGTTGGTTCCTGCCACCACGGGGAGCGTTCAACCTTGGACGATCGGTCGCTTCCGAAACGCCGGATCGGTCAGCATCGTCCGATTCTGGGCCACGGGCGGCGTTCAACGTTGAACGCCAGCAGCAGGGTCGCCGCCGGTGGACACGACGCGAACCTACCGTAGGCCAGCTCGGGGATCTACATGACCCGGGTCAATGCACACCTGGCCCAGTCCAGCTTTGCAGGATCCTGCGAGATCCCGAGATCCTTCAGGATCCTGCAGGATCGTGCGTGCTAGCCCAGGTCAGTGCAACCCTTAGCTTTGCAGGATCCTGAAAAGATCTGGCGCTCTGGCTGACCCCCGTTGGCATTGACCCCCCTCACTTGAACCCCGGCCAGCTTTCTCTCCACGGATGCCGGGCAGGCATCCCCGCAGCAGCTTGCTGGAGCCAGCAGCGTGTCCCGCGAGCGCGTTCCTACGGATCCGCACGGCCCCCATCGGCGCCCCCAGAGGAGGTGGCAAGAGGGCCCCCTGCGCGCAGCTCCCTCGCCCGCCTGCGGCGGAATGGAGCTCCGCGGCGGCGGCGGCCTCGTAGCTGCAGCCCCTGGCCGCGGAACGCCCAGGGAAATTGCCCGCGCCGCCTGTCTCCGCTCCCCGTCCTCGTCCTCTCCAAACCCTTCCTCTCCCTCCTTTCCCTCCCTTCCTCTCCATTCCTCCCTCTCGAGACCATCCCCTTCCCCCCCTTCTCCTTCTTCCCGTGCCTCCACCACTTGCGCATGGCGCCGAACGTGTTTCGCTCGGTTTGCCCACGCGTCCGCCAGGGATGCGCGGCTCCAGCCAGTCGGTGGAGTCACCCCTCCCGGGCCCCTCCCCGCGACTGCTCTCGGCGTGTGGGCCAGCCCTGCAGGCCTCGCGCGGCAACCATGGGACCCACTTTTTGCGTCGGATCCACGTCGGAATCCCGACGGGTTGGAGTCGGCTTGCACCGGGATCGCCTCGGAGGCACGTCGGGACCTCGCCGCACGAACGTCGTCCGATGCTTGATGGGACGGACGTGTGGACTACATGGTACGAACCAGAAAAAAAAAAAAAAAAAACAATCCGTGGATGGCTTTTGCTGAAGAGATCGACCGGGAACCCGGGAGCCCGGAATCCAGAACCAACCGAAATCGGCCTGGAACCAATAACCTGGAACCTGGGAGTCCGGAACCGGGAACCGGGGAACCCAGCCTGCCACCAAAATCGGCGGGAAGCTTTCGCCAAATCTTTCAATTTCCGCCAGGACCCTGCAGCGCAAGCACGGATTGGGGAACAGCTTTTGCGCGCCGCGCGAGGCCTCTAGGATTTTCCTCGCAGGCTCTCTTCCCCAGAAAGGCTCTCGCGCCGTGGACAGCTCTCACTCCGGCAGATGTTTGACCGTTTTTGGCCTCTGGGAGACCCCTCGCCGAGCCCCCTCGGGACCCTCCAAAACGGGGTCGGAATTGCAGAACCGGCCCAGGGGGAAAACGTCGGGATGTCCGCGGAGCTCGCATTCAGAGAAGTCAAGACATCAGATGTCTTGGCTCTCTCTCACCCTCTCTCTCTCTCTCTCCCCTCGTAGGCGATGGAGCGCGCGTGCCCCCTCCCCCCCCCCGCGTAAGAGTGCCCTGCCGCGCGCAGGGTGCCAGGCACCGTCGGCTCGTGCGCCCTCCGGCCGGTCGGGGCGCTGCAGGGGAGGAGGGGCGGGGAGGCACCGGGCGGGCGGGGAGGACTGGGCGTCAGATGTGGCGCGGGCGCGCCTCCTGGCGACCCGTATCACGGGGATGCGCGGCAAGGGTGGAGGGGCCTCGGAGGCCCACGTGAGCGTTCTTCGAACGAGGCTGGCCAGCGAACGCCGCCCAGCCTGGGCCGAGGGGGCAAGGATGCAAGGGCACCCTTGGGAAGGTTGCCCGTCCTCACTGTGCGGGTGGGCTGCAAGATGTAGCGCCAACGCGCCCACCTTGGCCATCCAATCTCCCCTCTCACTCCCGACTTCTCCCGTGCAACGACTTCGAGCACAGGTGGAACCGCGAACCACATAGTCACAGATGTTCGGATGTCCGCGCGGATCCCTCGGGCCGGCGCTGCACCCCCTGGCGGCGCCCCCTGCGCCGCCCCTGGCGCGCCGCAGGGTCCAGCGCCGACCCAAGAGATCCGACCGAGCGGGCTTCCGAAAGTGTACGTCTGTTTTCGATGACCCTCTTCCAGACTCCTCCCGAGCTTGGG